ACCGCATGTTGTTGTGGTAAAGAATGAGCCACAAGGGAAGCCAATATAATCCTTAGTACCTTAGTACAGAGTTTAAGCTGAGTTGTTTTGTTGTGTAATCATCAGCTCTGGGATTAAAGAAGAAAACCATTTTATGTGACTAAGACTCAGGAATGTAGCCTGGCAGTCTACAACCCATGGGGTCATAGAGTTGGACATAACTGAGCAACTAACACTTGAACCTAACATTCCAGGTTCTTATGCAATATTGTTCTTTATAGTATCAACTTTTACCTTCACCACCAGACACATCCACAGCTGAGCATCATTCCCACTTTGGTCCAGCCACTTCATTCTTACTAGAGCTATTAGTAATTGCTCTTCACTCTTCCCCAGTAGCATATCAGACACTTTCTGACCTAGAGGGATTATCTTCCGGTGTCATATCTTTTTCCCTTTTCATACTGTCCTTGGGGTTCTCCAGGCAAGAACACTGGAGTGGGTTGCCATTCCCTTCTCCAGTGGACCAGATTTTGTCAGAACTCCTCACTATGACCCATCTGTCTTGGGTGGCCCTCCATGGCTCCTGGCTTCACTGAGTTACACAAGCCCCTTCACCATGACAAAGCTGTGATCCATGAAAGGGACTATGTTCATGCCCAAAGCTGAACCCTTTGAAGAAGTTTATAAGGTGGAAACAGATTTAACTAAATTAGTCTGGTCAAGTCACTAAACAGTAAACAAGGAAATTATAACAAAAATGGACAGCTCTATATATAGAGTTGCTATGATATATTATTCAAAATGTTTAGTTTTCAACAGAAAATTATGAAACATGCAAAGAAACAAGAAAAGTGGCAGGAACAGCAGGAAACAGAAACTATTAGAGGACTCAAATGTTAGACCTAGCAGATAAACTTCAAAGTGAAACAGGAGGGAAGAGGGCAGGGCACGACCTTTAGAAGAATTACATACCAGTTGAGGATATGACATAAAATGACTAGAACCAACTAGGTCCAAGATGGCAGAAGATTTCACTTCCAGTAGACTTTGAGCCTCATTATATGCTCATTTTAATATATTAGCATGCTAAATGGCACACCTATAGGCACCATGACAGTTCTCAGACCAACCATAAAAAAAACAAAAAGTGGGTGGTGGCCCAAATCCTGGAAATCCTTGCCCCTTCTCCAAAATAGTTGGAATAATCCTCCCAGTCATTTGTCTATGAAATACTCAGCCCATGAAAACTAACCACTCCTTATTTCAGGGCCTCTCACCTTCTGAGATGGTCCACACTCTGTCTGTGGAGTGTGTTTCTCCCAAGGCCACTCTTGCCTTTTGAGATGCACTCCATTCTGTCTATGGAATGTATATCTCTCTAAATACACCCACTTTTTACCTATCACTTTGTCTCTCACTGAATTCTTTCTGTGATGAGATATAAAGAACCTGAACTTCATTAAGTGCTGAGGCCAGGTGTGTGATTTCAATGAGAAGGCAATGGGTTTAAGGCCCAGTCTGGTCTCAGCTGGGTTTGAGTCCCAATCTGAGGTGTGCAGTTTCAAAATCAGCTATTAAATTTGCTCAAAGAAGTAAGAAATCATGTATAAAGATGTAAGGGAAAGTATGAAAACAGTATCTCATCAAATAGAGGATATCAATAAAGAAATTAAGTTACAAGGCTTCCAAGCTGGCTCAGTGGTAAAGATTCCACCTACCAATGCAGGGGACATAGGTTTGATCCGTGGTCTGGGAAGATTCCAGATGCCATGGGACAACTAAGCCCATGAGCCACAACTACTGAGCCCTCATGCTACAACTACTGAAGCCTGTGCACCCTAGAGCCTATGCTCCACAATAAGAGAAGCCACAGCAATGAGAAGCCCATCTATGGAGTGTGTATCTCCCTAAATAAACCTACTTTCCCACTTAGTTCCTGGGGCAGTGCCCCTTGCCTACACGCTTGTCTCCCTCATAAGTGTCCTATATTAATACGCCTACTTCTTGCCTATTGCTTTGTCTCTTTCTGAATTCCTTCTGTGCTGAGACATAAAGAACCTGAGCTTCAGTAAGTTCTGATGCCAGGTGAGTGATTTTGTTAGGGAAGCACTAACTGAAACTGCCTGCCCTGGCCAGGCACACAGTAACAACTTGCATGAACTATCTTAACAACAGGAGGTCCTGATAAAGAACACAGAACTAAAAAAAAAAAAAAAAAGAACACAGAACTAACAAGCTACCAACAACCGAGATAATTCAGGAAAGGTATAAAGGAGAGAGGTGACGCCAGTCCGTATATCCTACCAACCTCCCAGAAACCTTCTTGCTGGAATCCATCTTGGCTGAGCAATGTGCATGCCATGGAGGAGGGACCCTGAGTCAGAGTCATGGGCTAGAGATAACCCGGAAACTAACCCCATTACCATAAAACCCGAGACTGTGAACCACATAGCAGAGTAGTTCTCCTGGGTTCCCTCACCCTCCTGCTCTCCACCCAGATGCCCTTTCCAAATACAGTCTCTTGCTTTGTCAGCACAGGGGTCTCCTCAGACAATTCCTTTCTGAGTGAACTGTCTAACGGAGTGTTAGACAAGAGCCCACTCTGAGGCCCTGGAAGGGATCCCCCTTCCTGCAAAAATTTTAATTAAAAGACTGTGGGTTCGAGCATCAACAAGACAACTCCTTAAAAGACAATATTCCTTCTTGATCTTGTAACATGACCTACCATGATGATGCTTAGATCTGGATTATGTAAACCATCATACATCACTTGTGTATAGCCCTCTGTCTCAAAAAACATATAACTGTATCTTGACTTCTAAGGGCCAGAACAGTTCTCAGAGCTTTCTGAGATGCTCTTCCCAGGTTATAATCCTCAAATTTGACTTGAATGAAATTTTTAATTTCTTTTTTGGATCAACCAATTAGTTTTTCATTTACAGGACAATAACCAAAATGAAAAAAATAAGCAGAGGGACTAAAAGTAGCTCTTTTGGGCTAGCAGAAGAAAGGAGCAGTGAACTAGAAGAGAGTTCAATGCAAATTATGCAATTTGAAGAACAGATTGTAAATGGAATGAAGAAAAAAATGTATAGAGCATCAGACAAATATGGGACACAACTGGGTGCACCAGCATATGTGTAATGGGGAAGCAGAAGTGGAGATAAAGAGAAGAGCAAAAAAAAATTCAAAGAAGTAATAGCTAAAATCTACATGTCCAAGAAGCTTAACTGACTCCAAGCAGGATAAATGCAAAGAGATAGATACCTAGGCACATCATATTCAAAAATGTTAAAATCCAAAGAGAAAACCTTGAAAGAACAAAGAGAAAAATGACTCATCTACAAGGTAACCCCAATAATACAAGCATTTTTCTTTTTTTGGTTCCACTGGGTCTTCATTGCTGCTCACTGACTTTCTCTAGTTGCGGTGAGCAGGGGCTAGTCTTCCTTGGAGTGCACATACTTCTTACTGGGATAGCTTCTTTCATTGCGGTGCACAGGCTCTAGACACAGGGGCTTCAGTAGTTGCAGCACTCGGGCTCAGTAGTTGTGGCTCAAGGGCTTTAGTTGCTCCTTCGCATGTGGAATCTTCCCAGACCAGGGATCAAACCCCTGTCCTCTGCAATGGCAGGAGGATTCTTATCCACTAGGCCACAAAGAAAATCCCTAGCAGGCTTCTTATCATAAACAGTGGGTCCAGAAAACAGCTAAAATTTTACTCAATCATGAAAGTCTATATACTTTGTACCCATGATCTGGAATAAAACAATGTCTGCTCTTGCTACTTATGCTCAATATTGTACTTGAAGATCTAGTTGGGAAAAGTAGGCAAGAAAAAGAAATAAAAGGCATCCATATTGGAAAGTGTTGATAAAAGAAAGGACAAGTGGTTCAGCGGCAAAGAATTCACTTGCAATGCAGGAGACGCATGTTCAATCCCTGGGTCAGGAGGATTCCCTGGAGAAGGAAATGGCAACCCACTCCAGCATTCTTGCCTGGGAAATTCCATGGACAGAGGAGACTGGGCTACAGTCCATGGGGTCCCAAAGTCAGACACGACTTAGTGACTAAACCACAATTTAAACAGTGTATTATTTCTGGGAAGGTCACCTTCCCTTCAGGGGAAGGCAAGGGAGGATGTCTTAGGCAGATTACCGCACTAGTGCTGACCAGGAAAAAAAAAACCTCACAGACTAGTTGGCTTAAAATTCAATTCCTAGGATAGCCTGCAAGTACAATTAGGTTAGATATTAAATATCAGTGGAGCTTAGCACAAGTCACTCCATTTTGCATTGATTGTTTCCTTTTTAACAAAGAAATAAAACCATCTCTATTTGCAAATGTCATTACATAGAAAATCATAAGGAACCAACTGAAAAACAATTAGAACTAATAACAAGTTTCACGAGGTTACAGGATAGAAAATCAATATACAAAAATCAATTGTATTTCTATAGACGAGAATGAAATAAAAAAAAAATAACTCCATTCACAACAGCCTGAAAATAATAAAAATACTTTGGAACAAATTTAACAAAAGAAGCATAAAAATTGTATTCTAGGAAATGCAAAGCATTGTTGAAAGAAATTAAAGAAGACCTAAATAAATGGAGAGACATCCAATATTGACTCAAAGCTTGTGCTGGATTCTCAGTGTGGCCCTGTTCAATGCTCTCCTGCAGCTTTCATCCTCCTTTTCCACCCTCTCTCCCAATCCAAGACCCCAAGATTCATGAAGGAAATCTTGGCAAGATGGACGGTTCAAGCTTCCCAAAATTACACAAGGTTTTTTTTAAAAAATACTTATTGTTATTTATTTGGCTGTGCAAGGTCTTAGTAGTTACTTAGGATCCAATTCCCCAACGTAATTGAACCTGGCCCTCTACATTGGGAGCCTTGAACATTAGCCACAGCACAACCAGGGAAGTACAACACAGGGCTTTTAAAACTGACTGTACTTGACATGCCAGGAACTCTTCCTAGGAGGCAAGGGGATCTTGGGACAAATCCATGATGTCATTGTCGTTCCGGTATTCTAAGGGCTAAAGAATAAAAGAGACTAGTGTTAGTCGTGCAGTTCTGACTCTGCGACCCCATGGACTGTAGCCGGCCAGGCTCCTCTGTCCATGGGATTTTCCAGGCAAGAATACTGCAGTGGATAGCCATTCCCTTCTCCAGGGGATCTTCCTGGAATCAAACCCAGGTCTCCCACATTGCTAAAGAAAATCTTTAATGATGGTCCTGTGACACTGGATAGGGCTCTCGCCCTATATAAACATTCTAGCTGCTTCTCTTTGAATTCACATCCGGGTTTCACCACTCTTAGTATGTAAACCGAGACCCTCAAGTAATCATCCAGGCTCCACCCACCCGAGCAACCATTGTGATCACACCTTCTTAGCTAACAACCCTAGCAACAAATATTTAAGCAATCCTCCAGATTTCCTACCTCCCTCAAATAAAACACAGATTCTGCCCCTCATTTTAAACCCTTAGACCCATCTTACACCGTGCTTCTCCAGGATTCCAGGTCCTGCTCTCTACTTAACTTGGTTGTAGTCACTAAGTCGTGTCCTACTCTTGCTACCCCATGCACTGTAGCCTGCCAGACTTCCTGTGTCCATGAGATTTGGCAAGAATACTACATGGGTTGCCATTTCCTACTCCAGAGGATCTTCCCACCCAGGAATCAAACCCGGGTCTACCTTAATTGCAGGCAGACTCTACCCGCTGTGCTACGAGAGAAAACCAAATATTCTATAAAACGTCAACCTATTTTTGACAATTCGAGCCACAACTCCAGTGCATTTATAGACTCCACCCCTTGACTAACATTCCAGGCCCGCCCCTCAGTCAAATGCCCGCCCCCAACCTTCTCCAGGCCCGGCCTCAGAAATACCACTTGAAACCCCGCTGACGCTAGACCTAATTGACATCTATAGGACGTTTCACCCCAAAACAGTCAACTTCACCTTTTTCTCAAGTGCACACGGAACCTTCTCCAGAATAGATCACATCCTGGGCCATAAATCTAGTCTTGGTAAATTCAAAAAGATTGAAATCATTCCAGTCATCTTTTCTGACCACAGTGCAGTAAGATTAGATCTTAATTACAGGAAAAAAATTATTAAAAATTCAAACATATGGAGGCTAAACAACACGCTTCTGAATAACCAACAAATCATAGAAGAAATCAAAAAAGAAATCAAAATATGCATAGAAATGAATGAAAATGAAAACACAACAACCCAAAACCTATGGGACACTGTAAAGGCAGTGCTAAGGGGAAGATTCATAGCATTACAGGCCTACCTCAAGAAACAAGAAAAAAGTCAAATAAATAACCTAACTCTACACCTAAAGCAACTAGAGGAGGAAGAAATGAAGAACCCCAGGGTTAGTAGAAGGAAAGAAATCTTAAAAATCAGGGCAGAAATAAATGCAAAAGAAACTAAAGAGATCATAGCAAAAATTAACAAAGCTAAAAGCTGGTTTTTTGAAAAAATAAACAAAATTGACAAACCGTTAGCAAGACTCATTAAGAAACAAAGGGAGAAGAACCAAATTAACAAAATTAGAAACGAAAATGGAGAGATCACAACAGACAACACTGAAATACAAAGGATCATAAGAGACTACTACCAGCAGCTCTATGCCAATAAAATGGACAACTTGGAAGAAATGGACAAGTTCTTAGAGAAGTATAACTTTCCAAAACTGAACCAGGAAGAAATAGAAGATCTTAACAAACCCATCACAAGCAAGGAAATCGAAACTGTAATCAGAAATCTTCCAGCAAACAAAAGCCCAGGACCAGATGGCTTCACAGCTGAATTCTACCAAAAATTTAGTGAAGAGCTAACACCTATCTTACTCAAACTCTTCCAGAAAATTGCAGAAGAAGGTAAACTTCCAAACTGATTCTATGAGGCCACCATCACCCTAATTCCAAAACCAGACAAAGATGCCACAAAAAAAGAAAACTACAGGCCAATATCACTGATGAACATAGATGCAAAAATCCTTAACAAAATTCTAGCAAACAGAATCCAACAACATATTAAAAAAATCATACATCATGACCAAGTGGGCTTTATCCCAGGAATGCAAGGATTCTTTAATATCCGCAAATCAATCAATGTAATACACCACATTAACAAATTGAAAGATAAAAACCATATGATTATCTCAATAGATGCAGAAAAAGCCTTTGATAAAATTCAACATCCATTTATGATTAAAACTCTCCGGAAAGCAGGAATAGAAGGAACATACCTCAACATAATAAAAGCTATATATGACAAACCCACAGCAAGCATCACCCTCAATGGTGAAAAACTGAAAGCATTTCCCCTGAAATCAGGAACAAGACAAGGGTGCCCACTCTCACCACTACTATTCAACATAGTTTTGGAAGTTTTGGCCACAGCAATCAGAGCAGAAAAAGAAGTGAAAGGAATCCAGATAGGAAAAGAAGAAGTGAAACTCTCGCTGTTTGCAGATGACATGATCCTCTACATAGAAAATCCTAAAGACTCTACCAGAAAATTACTAGAGATAATCAACGAATACAGTAAAGTTGCAGGATATAAAATTAACACACAGAAATCTCTTGCATTCCTATACACTAACAATGAGAAAACAGAAAGAGAAATTAAGGAAACAATACCATTCACCATTGCAACAAAAAGAATAAAATACTTAGGAGTATATCTACCTAAAGAAACAAAAGACCTATACATAGAAAACTATAAAACACTGATGAAAGAAATCAAAGAGGACACAAACAGATGGAGAAATATACCGTGTTCATGGATTGGAAGAATCAATATTGTCAAAATGGCTATACTACCCAAAGCAATCTACAGATTCAATGCAATCCCTATCAAACTACCAACGGTATTTTTCACAGAACTAGAACGAATAATTTCACAATTTGTATGGAAATACAAAAAACCGCGAATAGCCAAAGTAATCCTGAGAAAGAAGAATGGAGCTGGAGGAATCAATCTGCCTGACTTCAGACTATACTACAAAGCCACAGTCATCAAGACAGTATGGTACTGCCACAAAGACAGAAATATAGATCAATGGAACAGAATAGAAAGCCCAGAGATAAATCCACGAACCTATGGTCACCTTATCTTTGACAAAGGAGGCAAGGATATACAATGGAAAAAAGACAACCTCTTTAACAAGTGGTGCTGGGAAAACTGGTCAACCACCTGTAAAAGAATGAAACTAGAACACTTTCTAACACCATACACAAAAATAAACTCAAAATGGATTAAAGATCTAAATGTAAGACCAGAAACTATAAAACTCCTAGAGGAGAACATAGGCAAAACACTCTCCGACATAAATCACAGCAGGATCCTCTATGACCCACATCCCAGAATTTTAGAAATAAAAGCAAAAATAAACAAATGGGACCTAATGAAACTTAAAAGCTTTTGCACAACAAAGGAAACTATAAGCAAGGTGAAAAGACAGCCCTCAGATTGGGAGAAAATAATAGCAAACGAAGCAACAGACAAAGGATTAATCTCAAAAATATACAAGCAACTCCTCCAGCTCAACTCCAGAAAAATAAATGACCCAATCAAAAAATGGGCCAAAGAACTGAACAGACATTTCTCCAAGGAAGACATACAGATGGCTAACAAACACATGAAAAGATGCTCAACATCACTCATTATCAGAGAAATGCAAATCAAAACCACAATGAGGTACCATTACACACCAGTCAGGATGGCTGCTATCCAAAAGTCTACAAGCAATAAATGCTGGAGAGGGTGTGGAGAAAAGTGGACCCTCTTACACTGTTGGTGGGAATGCAAATTAGTACAGCCACTATGGAAAACAGTGTGGAGATTTCTTAAAAAGCTGGAAATAGAACTGCCATATGACCCAGCAATCCCACTTCTGGGCATACACACCGAGGAAACCAGATCTGAAAGAGACACGTGTACCCCAATGTTCATCGCAGCACTGTTTATAATAGCCAGGACATGGAAGCAACCTAGATGCCCATCAGCAGACGAATGGATGAGGAAGCTGTGGTACATATACACCATGGAATATTACTCAGCCATTAAAAAGAATTCATTTGAATCAGTCCTAATGAGATGGATGAAACTGGAGCCCATTATACAGAGCGAAGTAAGCCAGAAAGATAAAGACCATTACAGTATACTAACACATATATATGGAATTTAGAAAGATGGTAACGATAACCCTATGTGCAAAACAGAAAAAGAGACTCCTATGTATAGAACAGACTTGTGGACTCTGGGAGAAGGCGAGGGTGGGATGTTTCAAGAGAACAGCATTGAAACACGTATATTATCTAGGGTGAAACAGTTCACCAGCCCAGGTTGGGTGCATGAGACAAGTGCTCGTGCCTGGTGCACTGGGAAGACCCAGAGGGATTGGGTGGAGAGGGAGGTGGGAGGGGGGACCGGGATAGGGAATACATGTTAAAAAAAAAAAAAAGATACACTATGGTTGTGATAAAAAATAAATAAATAAATAAATAAAAAAAAGAAAAAGAGACTCCTATGTATAGAACAGACTTGTGGACTCTGGGAGAAGGCGAGGGTGGGATGTTTCAAGAGAACAGCATTGAAACACGTATATTATCTAGGGTGAAACAGTTCACCAGCCCAGGTTGGGTGCATGAGACAAGTGCTCGGGCCTGGTGCACTGGGAAGACCCAGAGGGATTGGGTGGAGAGGGAGGTGGGAGGGGGGACCGGGATGGGGAATTCACGTAAAAAAAAAAAAAAAAGGATACACTATGGTTGTGATAAAAAAAAAAAAAAAAGAAAAGAAACCCCGCTGATGAAAGTAAACATCAAGCTCCGCACCCACAGCTGATCTTGTAGCGTTCAACTAATCCAATAACCCTCTCTAAGTCACCTCCTAGAGGAATATTCTAGTCTAACCCTAGTACCCTCAAATCACAGCCGAGCCCGGGCCTTCCTACTCACTCATTGGTCCCACCAAGAAAGTGCAGTTGCTCATTTGTGTGCGATTATTGTGAGCCCATGGACTGTAGCCTACCAGGCCCCTCCGACCGTGGAACTTTCCAGGAAAGAGTACTGGAGTGGGTTAGCCATTTCCTTCTCCAGGAGATCTTCCTGACCCGGGATCAAACCTAGGTCTCCCGCATTGCAGGTAGAGGCTTTACCCTCTGAGCCACCAGGGAAGCCCTCCAACCAAGGGGAGTAACTAACAATCCTCTGGGCCCGCCCCCTCAGAACGTGGCTCCACTCCGACCACGCCCCCGAGAGGCCACGCCCCATCACGCACCCTCCTTGGGGCGCAGGCACAAGGTGGCGCCGGCCCTGCGTACCAGCGCCGCCACGTCGGCCGCAGCTCGGGCCGCCAGGGGGCGAGCTTCCAGCCGCGCCAGGAACTGTCTGGCGCTGGGACCCTCGGGCTGGGGACCGCCGCCGCCTGCGTGAGTGAAAAGAGCAGATCAGGGCCCACCCTGAATCTCAGCGAACCCTCACGGGCCCCTACGACCAAAGACCTAGATTTCCCCTCAAGATCCCCGAGACCACTCTTTTTTTTTTTCACTTATTTTTATTAGTTGGAGGCTAATAACTTTACAATATTGTAGTGGATTTTGTCATACATTGACATGAATCAGCCATGGATTTACATGTATTCCCCATCCCGATCCCCCCCTCCCACCTCCCTCTCTACCCGATCCCTCTGGGTCTTCCCAGTGCACCAGGCCCGAGCACTTGTCTCATGCATCCAACCTGGGCTGGTGATCTGTTTCACCCTTGATAATATACATGTTTCAAGGCTGTTCTCTCAAAAGCTCCCACCCTCGCTTTCTCCCAGAGTCCAAAAGTCTGTTCTGTACATCTGTGTCTCTTTTTCTGTTTTGCATATAGGGTTATCATTACCATCTTTCTAAATTCCATATATATGTGTTAGTATGCTGTAATGTTCTTTATCTTTCTGGCTTACTTCACTCTGTATAATGGGCTCCAGGTTCATCCATCTCATTAGAACTGATTCAAATGAATTCTTTTTAGTGGCTGAGTAATATTCCATGGTGTATATGTACCACAGCTTCCTTATCCATTCGTCTGCTGATGGGCATCTAGGTTGCTTCCATGTTCTGGCTATTATAAACAGTGCTGCGATGAACATTGGGGTGCACGTGTCTCTTTCAGATCTGGTTTCCTCGGTGTGTATGCCCAGAAGTGGTATTGCTGGGTCATATGGCAGTTCTTTTTCCAGTTTTTGTTGTTGTTGTTGTTGGTTTTTTTTTGTTTTTTTTTCCAGTTTTTTTAAGAAATCTCCACACTGTTCTCCATAGCGGCTGTACTAGTTTGCATTCCCACCAACAGTGTAAGAGGGTTCCCTTTTCTCCACACCCTCTCCAGCATTTATTGCTTGTAGACTTTTGGATAGCAGCCATCCTGACTGGCGTGTTATGGTACCTCATTGTGGTTTTGATTTGCATTTCTCTGATAATGAGTGATGTTGAGCATCTTTTCATGTGTTTGTTAGCCATCTGTATGTCTTCTTTGGAGAAATGTCTGTTTAGTTTTTTGGCCCATTTTTTGATTGGGTCATTTATTTTTCTCTGAAACCACTCCTTTTCGTAGTTCCGAAGGTCACCGACTGTGCCTTTCACCTCCCAGGACCCCCGACTATCACAGGAATGCCTGTGGACCCCCGCCTGCTCCCACGATATCCCTGGAGAGCTATTTAACTCCAGCACTCCCGGACACCGCCTAACACCCTGTGAATATCTCCGGAGGTTTCTGACGCCCCCCCCCCAACACACACAACCCCAGATTCCAAACTCTGCCCCCCAATATCCAAAAGGACCGCAATTCTCCCAGATGTCCCAACAGAACACGGTCTGCTCCCTGTGGCCCAGACACCCCCGATTCCCCTCTAGATGTCCTAGGCAACCCTGCTGGTCCACGTAGCCCCAGATGGCCCCTCCACCTATCCCCAGAGGCTCCAGCCTAACCTCCCACAATCCACCACCCCCAGTGCCCAGGTGTCCCCAGTGACCCTGGGCAGACCCCTCCAGCACATCTCCCCCGAGACTCCCGGGAGTCCCGGGGTCTGGTGCTCCGCCCCGCGGCACAGGTGTGGGTGTGGGTGCGGCTCCTCGAGCCCAGCCGGGGTCGCTGGGCCACTGCCCTCCACCGCCGCCGCCCCCGCCGCTCGCCGCCGCCGCTCGGGCGCCAGGGCTGCTTTGTTTACCACCTGTCAGAAGGAGAAGGTGAGGAGCAGACAGGAGGCGCGAGGGCTGGCAGGGACGCGCCCACTACCCTCCCACCCCGAGCCCGGTACCTCCTCTGCTTCCCCTAGGGTCCGTGCCGCCCCCCGGGCGCCGCTCCATGACCTGTACTTGGCCTGGTGGACGCACGGCCGCCCGCGACGCGTTTGGAGCGCTCGGGAGCGCTCACCTGGTGGCCAGCCCGGGCCTGGACGTGGCTGAAGCCGGCCGGTCCCGTGCTCGGCGCCCCAACCAGCGCGGTGACCTACCTGGCGGCCGCCAAGGAGTCCTGGCCCTGAGAGCCAGTGCGCACTCTTGGCCTCGCCCTGCCTCAGCCGCTGCCTCTCTTTCCCATCGCCAAGGGAAAACTCTTTCCACCCAGGGGATGTTGTTATTCCAGTGTCAGAGGGGAAAGTCGAGGCCCGAGAGGTTCAAGGCCCCACCTGAGCTCTGACAACTAAAAATGGGGTGCAAAACAGGAATCCAAGTTTACCGAGGTGTACTGCGGCCTCCAACAGATCTTTCCACATCTTAGGTGGAAAGTCGCTCAGTCGTGTCTGACTCTGCGATCCCATGGACTGTAGCCCGCCAGGCTCCTCTGTCCATGGGTTCTCCAGGCAACAATACTGGAATGGGTTGCCATGGCCTCCTCCAGGGGATCTTCCCCACCTAGGGATGGAACCCGTGTCTCCTGACACTCTTACATTGGCAGGCGGATTCTTGACCACTGGGCCACCTAGGAAGTCCCTTCCACATGGTAGACACTCAGTCAATCTGCACTGAATGTTTCCCTACTGGGGAACTGGAAGAGTATGGTGGCCTGAGGAGTGGGGGCACCCTTGGAGTCTTTGGGAGCCCTGGGAGGTGTCAGGGCCCTGAGCATGATAGGGTTGAGGACCCCAAAAGTAAGGAAGGGCAGGTCTCCTGGAGAGTGGAGGGGCAGTAGGAGCCTGGACTTGAGGAAACTTTGAAGGCATATGGGATGTGTTGGGGGCAGGGACACTAGCCACTGAGAGGGGAGTAATGAGGTCCCTCCTAGGTTTGAAATGGGGTGAGAGTGTGTGGAGACAAAGCCCCCAAGATGGAAGCCCATGGGCAGAGTGCTACTCTAGTGACAGGAGGATTGGGGAGGGGTGAGAGAAGGCCTGTGGCCACCACTTTGTGGAGGAAGAAACAGGCAAAAGATTTGAACACAAACTTTACCAAAGAACATATACAGGTGGCAGATTAGCATGTGAACCCTGCTTAATATGATTAGGCTTTAGGTAATACAAGTTAAAATCGTGGCAAAATGCCACTACACACATATTAGCATGGCCAAAGTTAATTAAATGCCGGACCATACCAACTGTATGTGAAGATGTCCAGGAGATGGAACTCTCATATACTGCTTCCAGGTTCAATCCTTGTTCAGGTAACTAAGATGCCCTGTGGGGCAAGGAAAAAATCCAATGCCCCTCTTAGCTGCATCCTTTCCTGAAAATAATCCTTTTGCCCCTTTTAGCATCACTTGGTTCATGGATGTAGGTCAGTCCCTCTAACAACCCCACCGAATTCTTATTAATTTAAGCAAATCTTTCTTTTCTTTAAGAGATTGCAGGTTAATTGACATAAAATTTGATAGGTTTTGAACCTGTGACAAAACAAGTTTCATTTGCTCAACATGCAGCAAGTCAAATAATGAGACACCAAGATCTGCAGCAGAGAAAGGAAAGTGCCTCCCAAAGGCACAGGGCTTGAGATATTTATGAGATAAAGAAGCAGGATTGTCTTTGGCCCAGGGAAAAGTGATTAGAGGTAGGGAAAAGGTGACCTAACAGGTGTTCTGTGTGGTGTATATGAGTTTTATGCTGTTTAGGGGATTCATGTGCAAAAATGGAGGTGCACCATGATCTGAAGGTGAACCATTCGACGTGAAAAGGTCATTCATCAAACTCCTGTGCAGGCCCAGTTTGGGGTCAGTGGTCCCAACCAATCTTAGCCAGTTTGAACTGGACAAGATCTAACTCCAAGTTCCTGAAAAACAACACAAAGCCCTCATTATTATAGCAACCCATATGTAAGAGGTGTGATAACAGCTATAGATTATAGGGAGTGGTAAAGGAGTAAAAAAATAATTAAGGCAAGTTTGGTCAGTGAAGGCAGGTTACAAAGCATAGCAGTCTTTAACAAGCTGTTCCCATATCTGCTGTTCTGTAAGGTAAGCTCAAGAATCTGTCACCAGAACAGAAACATTGATCCTATGGGGCACAGTTTCAAAGTGTTTACATCTGTGAGACTATCGCTACACTCAAGACAGGGAACATAATCCTCACTGCCAAATGTTTTCTCCTGCCCTGTGTGAGTCTTCTTTCCTGACTGCTGTCCTCCCCACCCCTGACACTGATATACTTTCTTCCACTGTGTATTAGTTTGTACTTTACTTGTTGTTGTTCAGTTGTTCAGTCATGTCCAACTCTTTGTGACCCCATGGACTGCAGCATGCCAGGCTTCCCTGTCCTTCACCATCTCCCAGAGCTTGCTCAAACCCATATCCATTGAGTTGGTGATGCCATCCAACCATTTCATCCTCTGTCATACCCTCCTCCTCCTGCCTTATATCTTTCCCACCACCAGGGTCTTTTCCCTGATAAATAATTGGCTGCTCTCATCAAGTGGCCAAAGTATTGGAGCTTCAGCTTCAGCATCAGTCCTTCCAAGGAATATTCAGGGTTGATTTCCTTTAGGATTGACTGGTTTGATCTTGCAGTCCGAGGGATTCTCAAGAGTCTTCTCCAAAACCACAGTTAAAACGCGTCAATTCTTCAGCGCTCAGCCTTTTTTACGGTCCAACTCTCACATCCATACATGACTACTGGAAAAACAATAGCTTTGACTATACAGACGTTTGTTGGCAAATAATGTCTCTGCTTTTTAATATGCTGTCTAGGTTTGTTATAGCTTTTCTTCCAAGGAGCAAGTGTCTTTTAATTTCCTGGCTGCAGTCACCATCCACAGTCATTTTGGAGCCCGAGAAAAAGTCTGTAGTCACTGTTTCCCCACCTATTTGCCATGAAGTGATGGGACCAGATGCCATGATCTTAGTTTTTTGAATGTTGAGTTATAAGCCAGCTTTTTCACTCTCACCTTTCACCTTCATCTAAAGCTGTTTGCTTTCTGCCATAAGGGTGGTATCACCTGCATATCCAAAAGTATTGATACTACCCCCAGCAATCTTGATTCCAGCTTGTGCTTCATCCAGCCCAGCATTTTGCATGATGTACTCTTTATGTAAGTTAAATAAGCAGGGTGACAATATACAGCCTTGTCCTACTCCTTTCCCAATTTTGAACCAGTCCATTGTTCCGTATCCGGTTCTAACTGTTGCTTCTTGTCCTGTACACAGGTTTCTCAGGAGGCAGGTAAGGTTGTCTGATATTCCCATCTCTTTAGGAATTTTCCACAATTTGTTGTGATACACACAGTCAAGGCTTTAGCATAGTCAATGAAACAGAAGTAGATTTTTTTTGGAATTATTTTGCCTTTTCTATGATCCAATGGATATTGGAAATTTGACTTCTGGTTCCTCTGCCTTTTCTAAATCCAGCTTGTACATCTGGAATTTCTTGGTTCACATACTATTGAAGCCTAGCTTGGAGGATTTTGAGCATGACCTTGCTAATATGTGAAATAAATGCAATTGTGAGTAGTTTGAACATTCTTTGGCATTGCCATTCTTTGGGATTGGAATGAAAACTGACCTTTACCAGGGCACAAACAAAACCTTGTGTGCACCAAGACCCAGGGAAAGGAGCAAGGCCTCGACAAGAGACGGAGCCAGACCTGCCTTTGAATGTTTGAGTGTCTCCTGCTGAGGCACAGGTCAGCAGTGGCCTGCTGTGGGGACAGGGCCTCTGGCAGCACCAGTCCTAAGAGGTGCAGCATGTAGCATAAGTCCTCTTGGAAGAGGTCGCCATTAGCCCCACTATACAGCTGCGCAACAGGCGACACACAAACTGGAAAACAATTATGCCAAAGAAGTTCTCGCACTGTTGGGAAAGTTCTAGGGCCCACAACAGATTTCCTAACCTGGGTATCCTGCAAAGGGACTGAGAACCCCCAGGGAATTTGACTTAGAAGGCCAGTGGGATTTGATTACAGAACTTCTACAGGACTGGTGAAACAGAGACTCTTGGAGGGCACAAACAAAACCTTGTGTTCACCAGGACCCAGGAGAAAAGAGCAGTGACCTCACAAGAGACTTAGCAGGCTTGTCTGTGAGTGTTTTCAGTCTCTGGTAGAGGTGTGGGTCCACAATGGCCTGCCACGGGGTCTGGGACACTGACTGCAACAGTCCTGGGAGGCGTGGCATGCTGACATGCCAAAAAGACATAAGTCTTTTTGGAGGAGGTCACCATTACCCTTACCATAGTTTTGCCTCAGGCCAAACTACAATGAGGAAACACAGCCCCACCCACCAGCAGAAAATCAGATTAAAGATTTACTGAGCATGGCCCTGCCCACCAGAGCAAGACCCAGTTCTCCCCACAGCCTGTCCCTCCTATCAGGAAGCTGGCACAAGCCTCTTACCCTCATCTATCAGAGGGGAGACAGAAGAAAAACCATGATAACAGATAACTAACCAAACTGATCATATGGATACCTGAGTTAGTGAGATATGGTTAGCTTTCTCTGATTGTAATTTTCATTCTGTCTCCCCTCTGATGGATAAGGATAAGAGGACATTTTTATATAAATGTAATCATACACAATGTACTCTGTGGGGAGAGATAAGTCTTGCCTCTTTCACTTAATATAATTATTTTGAGATCCATCCAAATTCTACATTCATTTTTATTGCAGTGTGTTATTCTACTGCATGAATATTCCAGTTTGTTGATCCATTCACCTATTGATGGACACTTGGGTTGTTTTCACTTTTTGGCTATTAACATATTCTATGGACTGACTTGTGTCTCCCCAAAATTCATATATTAAAGCCCCAACCCCCAATTTGATGCTTTCAAACTGTGGTGCTGGAGAAGACTCTTTAGAGTCTCTGGGACTGCAAAGAGATCAAACCAGTCAATCCTACAGGAAATCAACCCTGAATATTCATTGGAAGGACTGATGCTGAAGCTGAAGCTCCAATACTCTGGCCACCTGACGCAAGCAGCCGACTCATTGGAAGAGACTCTGACGCTGGGAAAGATTGAAGGCAGGAGGAGAAAGTGATGACAAAGGATGAGATAGTTGAATAGCATCAAAATGGACATGAGTTTGAGCAAACTCCGGGAGATAGTGAAAGCCAGTGAAGCCTAGTGTGCTGCAGTCCATAGGGTTGAAAAGAGCCAGACACAATTTAGGGACTCAGCAACAACCCCCAGTGTAACTGTAGCTGGAGATAGAATCTTTAGAAGGAAAAGTAAGGTAAAATGATGTCATAAGATGGGAATTCCCTAGTCCTGTAGTAGTTAGGATTCAGCACTTTTAGTGCTGTGGACCGAGTTCAATCTCTGGTCAGGGAACTGAGATCCCAGAAATCACAGGGCATGGCTAAAATTTTTTAAAAATGATGTCATAAGACTGGGGTCCTGATCTGATAGAATATGGCCTGATAAGAAGAGGAAGAGGGGCTTCCCAGGTGGCTCCATGGTAAAGAATCCACCTGCCATTGCAGGAGACACGGGTTCAATCCCTGATTCAGGAAGACCCCACGTACCAGGGGGCAACTAAGCCCATGCGCCAAACTAATGATCTGTGCTCTAGAGCCTGGGAGCCACAAATAGTGAGCCCATCTGCCACAACTACTGACACCTGCACGTCCTAGAGCACTGGCTCTGCAACAAGAGAAGCCACCACAATGAGAGACCCATGCACCTTAACTAGAGAGTAGTACCTGTTCGCTCTCCACAACTAGAGAAAAGCTTGCACAGCAACAAAGACCCACCACAGCCAAAAATAAGTAAATAAATAAAATTATAAAAAAGAGGAAGATCTCTCTCTCTCTCTTTTTGTCCCACGTGAGGATACAGAGTGAACATGATCATTTGCAAGATGGGAAGAGAGCCCTGACCAGGAATCAAATTGGAAAACAGCTGGATCTTTGACTTTCCAGTTTTAAGAACCCTGACAAATAAATTTTAAGTCACATGGTATTTTGTTATGAAACCTGAGATGAATAAGACAAAAAATAAAGCTGCTATGAGCATTCGTATATAAAATATCATAGAGACATATGCTTTCATTTCTTTTATGTAAATACATTAGGAGTACAATGACTGGATCATATGTGTAAGTTTAATCTTTTAAAGATACTGCCAAACTGATTTCTAAAGATATCATATACCATTTTACATTTCCATTAACAGTATATGGGGTAATTTCCTGAAGCACCAGTGGTTAGGACTCAGGGCTTTTGCAGACCAGGGCCTGGGTTAGATTCCCTGTCAGGAAACTAACATCCTACAAGTTTTGAGGTACAGCCAGAAGGGAAAAAAAAAGTCGGCAATAAAGGAGAGTTCCATCTCCTGGACATCTTCACATACAGTTGGTATGGTCAGGCATTTAATTAACTTTGGCCATGCTAATATGTGTGTAGAGGCATTTTGCCACGATTTTAACTTGTATTACCTAAAGCCTAATCATATTAAGCAGGGTTCACATGCTAATCTGCCACCTGTATATGTTCTTTGGTAAAGTTTGTGTTCAAATCTTTGCCTGTTTCTTCCTCCACAAAGTGGTGGCCACAGGCCTTCTCTCACCCCTCCCCAATCCTCCTGTCACTAGAGTAGCACTCTGCCCATGGGCTTCCATCTTGGGGGCTTTGTCTCCACACACCCTCACCCCATTTCAAACTTAGGAGGGGCCTCATTACTCCCAGGGCTCAGGGCCCTGACACCTCCCAGGGCTCCCAAAGACTCCAAGGGTGCCCCCACTCCTCAGGCCACCATACTCTTCCAGTTCCCCAGTAGGGAAACATTCAGTGCAGATTGACTGAGTGTCTACCATGTGGAAGGGACTTCCTAGGTGGCCCAGTGGTCAAGAATCCGCCTGCCAATGTAAGAGTGTCAGGAGACACGGGTTCCATCCCTAGGTGGGGAAGATCCCCTGGAGGAGGCCATGGCAACCCATTCCAGTATTGTTGCCTGGAGAACCCATGGACAGAGGAGCCTGGCGGGCTACAGTCCATGGGATCGCAGAGTCAGACACGACTGAGCGACTTTCCACCTAAGATGTGGAAAGATCTGTTGGAGGCCGCAGTACACCTCGGTAAACTTGGATTCCTGTTTTGCACCCCATTTTTAGTTGTCAGAGCTCAGGTGGGGCCTTGAACCTCTCGGGCCTCGACTTTCCCCTCTGACACTGGAATAACAACATCCCCTGGGTGGAAAGAGTTTTCCCTTGGCGATGGGAAAGAGAGGCAGCGGCTGAGGCAGGGCGAGGCCAAGAGTGCGCACTGGCTCTCAGGGCCAGGACTCCTTGGCGGCCGCCAGGTAGGTCACCGCGCTGGTTGGGGCGCCGAGCACGGGACCGGCCGGCTTCAGCCACGTCCAGGCCCGGGCTGGCCACCAGGTGAGCGCTCCCGAGCGCTCCAAACGCGTCGCGGGCGGCCGTGCGTCCACCAGGCCAAGTACAGGTCATGGAGCGGCGCCCGGGGGGCGGCACGGACCCTAGGGGAAGCAGAGGAGGTACCGGGCTCGGGGTGGGAGGGTAGTGGGCGCGTCCCTGCCAGCCCTCGCGCCTCCTGTCTGCTCCTCACCTTCTCCTTCTGACAGGTGGTAAACAAAGCAGCCCTGGCGCCCGAGCGGCGGCGGCGAGCGGCGGGGGCGGCGGCGGTGGAGGGCAGTGGCCCAGCGACCCCGGCTGGGCTCGAGGAGCCGCACCCACACCCACACCTGTGCCGCGGGGCGGAGCACCAGACCCCGGGACTCCCGGGAGTCTCGGGGGAGATGTGCTGGAGGGGTCTGCCCAGGGTCACTGGGGACACCTGGGCACTGGGGGTGGTGGATTGTGGGAGGTTAGGCTGGAGCCTCTGGGGATAGGTGGAGGGGCCATCTGGGGCTACGTGGACCAGCAGGGTTGCCTAGGACATCTAGAGGGGAATCGGGGGTGTCTGGGCCACAGGGAGCAGACCGTGTTCTGTTGGGACATCTGGGAGAATTGCGGTCCTTTTGGATATTGGGGGGCAGAGTTTGGAATCTGGGGTTGTGTGTGTTGGGGGGGGGGCGTCAGAAACCTCCGGAGATATTCACAGGGTGTTAGGAGGTGTCCAGGAGTGCTGGAGTTAAGTAGCTCTCTAGGGATATCGTGGGAGCAGGCGGGGGTCCACGGGCATTCCCGTGATAGTCGGGGGTCCTGGGAGGTGAAAGGCACAGTCGGTGACCTTCGGAACTACGAAAAGGAGTGGTCTCGGGGATCGTGAGGGTTCGCTGAGATTCAGGGTGGGCCCTGATCTGCTCTTTTCACTCGCGCAGGCGGCGGCGGTCCCCAGCCCGAGGGTCCCAGCGCCAGACAGTTCCTGGCGCGGCTGGAAGCTCGCCCCCTGGCGGCCCGAGCTGCGGCCGACGTGGCGGCGCTGGTACGCAGGGCCGGCGCCACCTTGCGCCTGCGCCCCAAGGAGGGTGCGTGATGGGGCGTGGCCTCTCGGGGGCGTGGTTGGAGTGGAGCCAGGTTCCGAGGGGGCGGACCCAGGATTGTTAGTTACTCCCCTTGGTGCGACCAATGAGTGTGAGTAGGGAGGCCCGGGCTCGGTAGTGATTTGAGGCTGCTAGGGTTAGACTAGAATATTCCTCTAGGAGGTGACATAGAGAGGGTTACTGCAGAAGGTGAACGCTGCAAGATTAGCTGTTGGTGCGGAGTTTGATCTTTACTTTCTTCAGAAGGATTTCAAGTGGCATTTCTGAGGAGGTCAGGCCTGGAGAGGTTTGGGAGCGGGCATTTGGCTGAGGTGCGAGCCTGGAATGTTAGTCAAGGGGGTGGAGTCTATAAACGCACTAGGGGAGTGGCTCGAATTGTGAGGAATAGGTTGAAGTTTTATAGGCTAATTATAGAGAGCAAGGCCTGAAATCTTCACCAGCTGGAATCCTGGAGAAGCACCGTGTAGGGTGGGCCTAAGGGTTTATTATGAGAGCTAGGATCTGCATGTTATTAGTAGGAAAGTTTGGGGAATACTAGAATAGTGTTGCTAGGATTATTAGTTAAGCAGGTGCAATCAGGATAGTTATTCATCTGGGCGGAGCTTAGTTAAATGAATGAGCAAGTCTGTGCATCCTAAAGGCACGGAAATGAGATGAGGCTAGAATATTAATTCAATAGACAGGTCCTCGTTTCTTTATAGTACCCTTCTGACTGCCTTTTTCATCTCCCAGCCATTAGCATGCTGTATTCTGCCGAGATAGAGGTCACAGACAATCGCCTTCCTAATGCCAGTTTCGTGGAACAGCGTCCCCAGGTACCACCTTGTCCTCTTAATCTAAGGCCACCTGCCTCAGGACTGGCAGTGTATGTACACTTGTGTCCTTACTCCAGCATCGTCGGTCAGAGAACATGGGTATACGTACCGCGCCGGCCCAAGTGACCCAGGGTAAAGCTCGTCCTCCTTTAAAGTCACCCCAGGTCTCTGGTCAGTTTGCTGTTGAACTCATTCGCAGTTCCACCGGCTTTGGCTTCACATTAAGTGGAGGTCGAGATGCAGGTGGGGATGCTCCACTGGCAGTGCGCCGGCTGCTGAAGGATGGACCAGCCCAGCGCTGCGGTCGCTTGCAGGTGAACCGTAAGGCACCCTCCATTCGATCATGCCAGCCCTGCCCTCTCCCGTTGGTGTGCTCTCCATTTTGACCTTCCTACAACACCCCTTGCCTTGCAGGCCGGCGACCTCGTGCTTTACATCAATGGAGAGTCAACTCAGGGCCTCAGTCATGTTGAGGTCGTGGATCGGATTCGTAGAGGTGGTCCCCGGCTTTGCCTCGTGCTAAGCAGGCCTCCTGAAACCCACCCTGGCAAGCCTGAGGTGGTGGGAAGGCCCCAGAAAGAAGATGGTGGGTTTCCTAGAGGAGAAGGGTCAGGGATCTGTGAGGGAAAGAAGAGGGTCACAGAGTGGAGAGGCTGGGGACCTCGTTAGAAGGGTTTGGTAGTCTCAACCAGGAGGATCAGGGCTCGGTGTCTGAGGGTCATGGTATTTTCAAAAGGGGAGGGGAAGACCGGGGTCCCAGGGTAGGAGTAAGGGTGGATTTCAGAGGGAAGGGTTTTGAGGTACTGGGAGAGAAGAGAAAAGATGGTGTTTGGGGTAAAAATGGGTGTTCAGAAGGAATAGTTGTGGTCTTCAGATGGGAAGACAGAGTAGGTCTAAGCGGAGAGGGGATGGGATAGGGAACCAGAGGGTAGGGAGACTAGCCCCGGAAAACGAGGGAGCCTTTAGGGTAAGGGCTGGGGGTTGAGGATGATGGGATGAGTAAGCAGAAAGTCTGGGATCCTAGATGGGAGGGTTTGACTGCCTTTGGGGGTTTTGGGAATTGATTTCTGTGGGGAGTGTTCAGGATCCAGGAAAGGAGGGGAAAGAAAGCATCGGGTCTTGAGGGTGGCCTCGTTCCCGGAGGGCGTGTCCATGCCTTTGCCAAAGAGCTCCATCCCCATTGCCCACCCTATCGCCCAATCTTATCCGCAGTCCTGCCATCCCCAGATCGCATTCCAGATCCTGGGGGACCAGAGATGATGAAGGCTCGCTGCGCCAGCACTTCCTCCCCACTTCAGCACCCACGACCATGTATGACCCCCCAAAACCGGGGCAGCCAGGAGCCTCGCCCAGAAGGGGCGGCCGACGGCCCCGCGGTTCTTGCTGAAGAGCGCTGCGCGGAGGACCCCAACGACCAAACTCCGGATTCCCCCGGACCCTGGCTGACGCCCAGCGAGGAACGGCTCTCGCGGGCCCTAGGGGTCCCGGGGCCCGCGCAGCTTGCCTTGGAGATGGCAGCCGGAAGGCGGAGGCACTGAGCGTGCAGCGTGCAGCGGAAGGCTCACTAGGCATTGCCCAACCTCCATCTGGCGTGCTCCCCCCGCCGCTCACTTAGTATCACTGGGAGAACTTCCTTGGTCTTGTCCCCCCCATCCTACTCCGCAGTCGACCCGGCCGCGCTCCCCTCGCGGCGTCAGTGGTATGGCCCTTCCCAACCGGCTTGCCTGGCGCTTCTTGTTTTCGGGGCCGGGGAGGTAATAAAATGGTTCAATCCAGTCTTGACTTGCCAAGTGCTCCAGGCCAGGTGGGGATCCCGAGTCCCACACGTGAGGGAGTGGGAGGGTCGATCTGGTTTCGAGGAAGGCCTCTTCAAGCAACCATTGGCAAGCTTACTTCACGCTGTTTCTTTGATGCCTCTAAAGAGCTCTTTGCTTCTGCCGGCGCGCTTTGGACCCACTCCGTTCCCATTTTGCCAACTCCTGCTTCTTTCCCCATTCATTCATTTCACCTTTTTGGAGGTGTACAGGGCTCACAGCTAATTATTGCGCATGGCGTGGGGAATGCAGAGGTGGCCCTGTTGTGGCGAGAGTGCACCGGTTTACCCACAACCCCGGCCGGCCGGGAATCGTCCAGACCCTCTAGTGAACTAGATAGCAAAGTTAGAACCTGGCAGCTTCCTTCGCCGAGGGCCTGCGGTCACTCACTTCCGGCCTTGTCGGCCAGCTTTCGCTGGCTGTAGACTGCCACCCTCAAGGCACTGGCTGGGGCCCCGGAGCCCCCTTCAGGGCGGAGCCAGGAAGGTGTGAGTCAGCAGGCTGGGCTAAAAACGGCTGTTAGAACCTTTGGGCCGCGCCCCCGTCTTCCACAGATGGTGACGAACTGCAGCTGGGCTTGTGTGCACACGCTACACGCTGGGCGTTCCCAGTCCTGGGAGAGGCCAGAGTTTCCTCCGTCCTGGGAACAGAGCCCCAAAGCCCGGTCTTATATGGCGAGCTGGGCTCCAGTGTAGCCCCAGTGCTGGCGCTGACTGAGGTCAGCAATGTCCAGTCACCTCCGTGGTCACCACACCCACGACACTTGGTCCTATCCCCCCAACGAAGGAAGCTGTGGTCTGGACGGAATGAGCAACTCTCACCTCTATGGGGAGGGGCTGGAGAGGTGGGAGAAAGTAAAGGACCCTCGTGGGAGTGTCCAGGGCGGCACTGGAGAGGGGAGAGGGACTGTAAAACTAGGCTGGGAGTTGGGGTATAAAGAGGTGAAGAGGTGAACCCTTGAATGATTAGCGCTGTAGCAATTGTGGGGGAGTGTGCTGGGGCTTCTAGCTGACCCTTACTCAGCTTGATAGAAGGTGTGGCTGGCTCTAGGGAAGTCAAGAAAGGACTTCAGAGCCTTGGTCACATCCAGGAGTCTAACAATAGTAACCCCAACAACCATTTACTTGGTCTTATCCTGGCTCCTGGCTTTACTGGCGCTATTTCCACCTAGTTACACATTGACTCAACAATCCTGATGTGTCCATTTCACAGAAGAGAGAAATGAAGCCCAGTAAGTATAAATAACTTGAGGAAGTTGAGGATTGAAGCAAGATTTAATCTTGCCCGATTCCCAAGCCTGTCCTCTTAATCTCACCTGCATTTGACAAGTATTAACTGAGCCCCAACTACTTACCTTGCACTGTGATAGGCACTGATGAAATGTTGGAGGGATGAAACATAGATTTCTATCCTTGTATAGCTGATGTAGTGGAGAGGGGTAGACTGATGTCAGAAAAGATACAAGAAGATGAATAAAAGAATTTCAGAGAGAAGTGAGAGTTATGAAGATAGCAAAAGGTATGGTGGGGGAGATAATGATGGTGGGCTGCTGACCTCTTTGAAGACATTGTATTTGATCTGGGACCTGAGTGACCAAAAGCTAGATGTTTGAAGGGGTGGGGTGGGAGTGGGGGTGGGGAGAAGGGCATTGACAGCAGTGGGAGAAGCAAGTTCAAAGGCTCTGATGTGGAAGAGAGTTTGTTCTGTTCTAGAAACTCAGGCATGGCCTCACAGAGTTGGAAAGCACACACTCAGCCCTGTGAAAGGTGTGCTTCATATCCACTATCCAATCTCTTTCAGCCACCTGGACTGAGGAGAGCCCCTTACTTGGTTTTGTGGGACCCAAGGTTCAGCGGGGGAAAGCAGGCAGGCCCTTGGGTTGAACCATTCTGGCCTTCCAGCCATGGCTCTCCTCACCTCATATGAGAATGAAACCAACACCCACTCTGGAGAGAGTGTGCCAGAGGAGCACATCTTGGGGGATATCCTGATTCCATTACCAGGTGCAAGTCTCAGACGCAGAAATTGAGGCTGAGTCAGGAGAAATTACTTGCTCAGGATAACTCACTCTTCAAATGTCATCAGCCTTTTCGCCCAGTCTGGCACCCAGGAGCCTTCCCCTCATTTTGCCAAGCTTACAGCAATAAACAAAACTGTGCTCCTTCCGCATTCTTCATCTAAGACTGGGCTGACAGCCCCTTTATGTAGAACCAGGAAACAGAAGCCAAACACTTGGGGCCAGGACCTCCCTAGAATTGCAGAACAGAGAAACAGACCCTGGCTCTGACACTGTTAATAATGCCCACTCTTCATTTAGGGAGCAGCTTGATGCTCAGCAGGCTTTGTTCTCTCTCCACCTGGCAAGGTCTCATCCCTATCTAAGAGGTTTATTCCACGATCCACTGTCTTTTATCCACAATCCTGAAATCCAAAAAGCTTTGGAAGCCAACAGATTTCCCACAAGTTGGGTACCATTTGGTTACAAAACTTGACCTGACTTAACCAGAAACAATTCTTTGGTCCTGTCTTATCCCACTTACTGTGAAGGTCCACATCATTCCTTGAGGAAATATTAACAGGTGTGTGTGTTGCTGCTGTTGTTGTTTTTAAACCAGGCAGTCTCAGATCCCACTGAGAGTGTCAATAATACCTTGTATGCATTGGGAAAATCTTCAAAAATCGGAATTATCCCGAATTCTGTAAACATACCTGAGTTTAACCTTGGCCTGGGCAGTTTCTTACAGCTAAGGAAACTGAGGCATTCCCTCCCAAAGCCAGATCTCCACGGTTCTGAGGCAGTCCCAGGCGCATTGGTATTCTAAAAGCATGAAGGGTCTCTCCATTGCAACACGGTTCTGGTTCGCAGATCTGCCAAACCGCAGAACTGACAAACTGGCGCCCCTGAAGACTGGGTGCCTCGGGGGCTGAGCGCCCGGCGGGGAGAAACCTTGGCGGGCGGGGCGAGGGGGCTTCCGGGGCGGTGGCCACCTGGCCCGACCCGTTGAAGCCCCGCCCGCTTCTGCTCTGCGCGGTGATTCACTCCCTCCTTCGCCCCGGGGGCCCCCTTCCCGGCCAGACGGCTGGCAAGACGGCTGGGTGTGCAGCGTCCTCGAAAACACGAGCCACAAAAACCAGCGAGCAGGTCTTCTGCGCCTCTTGGGACTCGGGTCCACACCATGGCGGATTCCGAGCGCCTCTCAGCCCCCGGCTGCTGGGCCGCCTGCACCAGCTTCTCGCGCACCCGAAAGGGATTTCTTCTGTTTGCTGAGATTGTGAGCGTCCCGGGACTGGCGGGTGGGCAAAGGCGGGGTGGGGTGGCAGCAGCACGCGAAGCGGGGCAGCTCCCGGGGAGGCAGGCGCGCGGCCGAGGGCTCTCGGCAGTGGGGCGCCAAGTGGGTGAGTTGATGGCGGAGGCCCGAAACCAGGGGCGCACGTAGGGCCAAATCAGTGAGGTCTTGGAGAAGGTGGTCAGGAGCTGCTGGCCCACGCGGTCAGGCAAGAGGCCCACAGGGCGTATGGCGGACCCGGTGGAGAGAGACCCAGTAGTCTCATCGGTGGTCTCCTCGAAGGTGTCCCCAGGTCCTGGGTGTTGGGGGGACATCCCGTGGCAGGGCGTGGCGCGGCCTGGGCACAGGCGGGCGGGCTGGCAGAGCGCCCAGGGGCGGGACCTGTTGGGGTGGGGCCCCGCGCGCTCTAGTCCCGCGGGGTAGGTGACTAGCCCTCCTCCAGTTCTTCCTAGCCCCTCTGTGGTGGGGCGGAAGGTCTTTAGCTATCTGGGCCGCTCAGGAGCCTCGGTTTCCCATACCCCTCAAAGTGGGCGCCTCCTTTGAGGCCTTTGTAAAAGGTGCAGAGCCTTTAACGGAGCCCTGCCCCTCTGGTGTTACTCTCACTGCTTCCTAGAGAGGTTGCTGGGGGAACCGCATGTCGCGCCCTGTCAAAGCCCTGAAGCTGGTGCCCCAAGTGCTGGAGGCGATACTCCCCACAGGGCATCCTAGAAGGAAAAAGATGGGAAACTGAGGCACCCAACTCTACCTATTAGCTGGGTGGTTGTGGATAAGTCACTTAACATCTCTCTGCCTCACTTTCCTCATGTATAAAAAATAAAGGTACTAATAATAGTATCCAGTTCACTAGGTTATTGTGATGACTGAGTGAATTAATACTTGTGCAGCTCTTAGAACAACATTTGGAACACAGTGTGCACACACTAAGAGTTTAGCTATTGCTATTTGTAATTTTCCCAGTCCTGAGTTTGAGATGACCCGCCCCCCCCCCCCCCCCCCCCGCCCTCAGTTGAAACCATTCCCCTCAGCCCTGGGAGTTGACTGAGGCCCCCTTTCACATGTCCTTCCAGATACTATGCCTGGTGATTCTGATCTGCTTTAGCACCTCGACATCAGGGTACTCTTTCTTGTCGGTGATAGAGATGATCTTTGCTGCCGTCTTCTTTGTTGTCTACATGTGTGACCTGCACACCAAGATACAGATCATCAACTGGCCTTGGAGTGTGAGAAAGGGGCCACAATGGCAGGGCTAGGGAGGGATAACAGAAGTTGTAATTGTGCGGGGCAATTCTGAATGCTGACTTCCCTCTTCTCCTGACACCTCACAGGATTTCTTCCGAACCCTTGTAGCGGTCATTCTCTACCTGATCACCTCCATTGTGGTGCTCGTTGAGAGAGGAAACAACTCCAAAATCGCTGCAGGGGTAATGGCTGTGGAGTCAGCTTCTAAGCACAGAGAGAAGGGTTTGAGGTTCCTGGGGCTATTTCTGCCTCTGCTTCTGCCAGAAAGTGTGTGACTCACAGTAGGTCACACTTGTCCTTAGGGCCTGCAGGGAAGTCAAACTGAGGCCCTGGTTTTCCTCCCCAAATTATCATTTGCTGTAAAGAGCCATCCCTTGTCCAACACAAGGACTTTTGTGGGAAGCACATAGAGGTGGACGCACAAGCACTATCAATGTCAGTACATTAGACTAAACCATCTGCTAGAGCTTTGTTGCAATGCACAGTATGAATGGCATCCCCTATATGTGGGGCCTGGCTTCCCTGGTGGCTCAGTAGTAAAGAATCCGCCTGCAATGCAGAAGACCTGTGTTCAATCACTGGGTTGGGAATACTCCCTGGAGAAGGGAATGGCAACCCACTCCAGTATTCTTGCCTGGGAAATCCCATGGATATAGGAGCCTGGTGGGCTACAGTCCATGGGGTTGCAAAAGAGTCGGGCATGACTGAGGGACTAAACATCAACAACGTATACGGGGCCACTGTGTCGCTGTACTGTGTTGAGATGTACTAGGAAGAAGGAGGGTGGGGTAGAATCCAGTCTCTGGTCTTTCCCCGGGGCTCTCTGGGATCCCCACCTGTGGCTTTAACCATCATCCCTGCATGGGCTAGTCACTGGAGGTGGTGGATACAAGGAGATAGGAGGCTTGGTAGGCTGACCAGTCTAATCTACCCACCCTCACTCCCATCCCCAGGTACTGGGCCTATGCGCTGCAGGCCTCTTTGGCTATGATGCCTACATTACCTTCCCCTTGCGGCAGCAGAGACATACAGCAGCCCCTACTGGTAAGTGTGTGGGTGTGCTGGGGGTGTTGCTAAGAGGGCTGAGAAGAAGATGGGTTTCCCAAGGGGCATGAATACCAACTTTTGTCTCTTGTTGGTACTTAAGGCTTTAGTGCCAATAAGTTCCATAAGCTTCAGTATTCTTATCTGTAAAACAGGCATATGGATCCAGCCAATGCTTTCTCTCTTTTCCTCTTGCAGACCCTGCAGATGGCCCGGTGTAGGTGTACTCTCTTCATTTCTCTCAGCAATCTGCAAACAACACCTCTATTGAAATAACTCCTCCCCACCCCTACAACACTCCCAGTCAACTCCCAGCTCCCTATTGAGGTAAAAGTGCCTTTACCATGGAATTTGTTTTCCAGCCTGCCAATCAACCCTCCTGGGTATGGCTACCTTTATGGGCGTGCCTAGGGCCCCCTTCTGCAGTATCCAAACAGAGACATCAGTTCTGCCTGGACAATGCCCCACCTCAGTCACAAAATGACAGAAGAGGGTACCTCAGATTTCAGACTCCAGGCCCCGTGTTGTAACCCACTCTAAATAACCTCCTCAGTGTGTGTAGGGGGTGGGGGTGTTCTGTGGAGCAATAAATAAATACTATGCAGATTATTAGAACATATGATAGTGAATAAATTAATCCTTTGATTAAATGTAGATAAATCTCAAGCATCAGTAGGGGGAAAATTGGGGAGGGGGGATGCTGGAGCAAAGAGGTAAAGACAAGCCTGTTTTACAACAAATATTAAATTACTTCAGTAATACAAACAGACAAAGGAGGGAGGAAGGAAGGGGATCAATGACTTAAGTTGGGGTGTAGGTCATCATCTACACTGACTTGAGAATGAAGCCCCCCCCCAGAACTATCACTCCTTCAAGCCACGATGCAGTTCTTATCTCTGGCCTGTCGAGACATTCCTGGGCGAGAGTTCCCAGGGAGCTGTGGAGATGGGGAGTTGGCGGTCTCAGCTGCAGTATCTTGAGCAAGCACTGGCCTGCACAGGTGCGGGGACAGCGGGATGCGTTCCCCTAGGAAGTAGCCATCCTCCTCTGAGGACTCGGAACTGGAACTGGTGGGTGAGCTGGAGCAAGATCCTGAGTCCGACCCTGATCCCAAGTCACACTGATGGTGGCGACGTCTGCCAAAGTGGCAGCGGTGGTGGTGATGGTGGTGGTGATGATGGTGGCGGTGGCGGTGGCGGCGCCTGGGCGGGGGGCTGCGTGGTCTGCGGCGCTGGGCTGGGGGTGCACTCAGGGTCCGCCGAGGGCCTCCCTCAGACACCAGGGGGTCACGGAAGCTGACACGAGGGGCGCTCTGGCGACCAAAGGCACCATCTTCTGGTCGCGGATCCGGCTGGCTGGGAGGCCCCAGGGGTGGTTCGGGGACACTGCGGAGCCCCAGCTCAGGCATGGAGTGGCGGTGGGGAGCCCCCCTCAGAAAGTGAGTGGGCTCCTCAGGGCCTGCAGCTGGAAAAAGATGGGGAGTCGCTCTATACTTCCTGCCCCATCCCCACCCCACCCAGGAGAGGCCTCTGGAAAGGAACTTCTTTCTCCCCGATCAAGACTGGGAAAATGGGGGCAGGCATTGGGGTGGAGCAGAAAGGTGGGGAGTCCAGGAAATATGAGGTCTTAGGCAGGTTCTGGGTGGAGGTGAAAGCAGGAGTAACAGGACTGGATTGGCGTATGGGGTACGGCCATGGGTGGGGGCGTGGTATAGGATGGAGCAAAATCCAGGCGGGGCCGGGGAGCAGAGGGTGAGGGGTCAAGGGTTTGGAGGAGGAACTTGGGCTCAAGCTGGGACAAGTTGAGGTAGGGGAAGGGCCCTGCACAGGAGTGGGGTGGAACCAGGATTCACGTGGGGTGTAGTTTGGGCTGGAGATTAGGCCTGGAATGGTTTGGGGATGAAGCCAGGACTGAGATGGGAGTAGGGCCAGGGATGCCAGGGTGAAGGGCCCGGGCTGGTCAAGGGGAAGGGACAGGGCTGGGGGAGGTGGGGTGGCTCACCAGGCGCTGCCTCGGTGTTGGTACCTTTGGTGGTAGTCTCAGATGCCCCCTCCACAGCAGAGAAAGAGGCTGTAGAGGCTGTGAGAGGTGTGGAGACCGTGCTTGTGCTCCAGCTGCGGCGGCTGTGCCCTGGAGCCGTGGGCTCAGACCCCAGGCTGCAGGCTCGTGAGCAGAAGATTAGGCCACGGCGTGGCAGGAAGGGGCGGCCCAGGAGAGCTCGCCCACAGCGACTACAACAGAAGCAGCGCTCTGAGGCGTGCCAGTGCTGGCCCTCATAAGCCATCTGGCCTTGGTCCAGGCCTGCAGGGGTGGACAGGAGGGGGAAAACTCAGGCATATCCCCGACCCTATTGAATGGGGGCCTTTCTTGGGAATCTGGGGCAGGGTCCCTGGAGATGTCCTCTTCCCCCACCTGTCCAGATTGGAGCCCTTCCTCACCCTCCTCTCCTGGAAACTGGCTGATAAATGTCTCCTCTGCTTCCCTTTCTTTCCCCAGGTGGCCCCTCCCAGAGTGGAGGTGGGTATTAGACTCTAAGATGTGGGTCTGGCTTAGACATTAAGAGGTGGCTTCAGGTGGAAGGAGAATGGAAGGTAGATCTGAAGAAGAGACCTGGGTGGTGGCAGCAGAACAGAGTAGGTAGGGCGTGGCTTTGGTGGGAAGGGAGTAGTAGATCTTAGAAGGTTGGGTCTGGCTTAGAAGGTAGGGTTTACCTAGGCTGATGGAGGAGAGTGTGGGAGAACAGGGCATAGCTTAGAGTACGGGCTAGGTTGAGAGGGTAGGAGAGTAACTTGTGGGGAAGGTGCTAGAAATTAGAGGGCACTCTGGAGGTGGGTCTAGATATGTAGTGGTGCCTAGTGTAGGTGGGTTTAGAAAAGATGGCATGATGGGGGACATTGGTAATGGAATTGCAGTGAAGGGTACAGGGCTACAATGCTGGGGCTAGAATTAATGTATGGGGTATAATGGGAGATGGGGCCTGGAAGACAGAAGGAATCCTGGGGGTGGGGCTATGACCCAGCTGTCCATCCATTGCCCAGCCAATCCCATGTTCACCCACCAATGTGTTCCCCGCAGCCATCACAGTACTCCGCGTGGCGGGCCTCATAGCAGGCACAGCAGTGGGGGCGACTCTGACGCATGACATAGCGCTGCCCCCCGAGCGATGCTTCACATTCAAAGCAGCAGAAGTGACCCATGTGCCAATGCCGGCCCTCGGCTTCCGTGCACTCAGGGGAGAAGATGATCTGGCAGGCAAAGGCCATCCATGGCCATCAGAAGGGTCTGCCCCTGGTCCTGCCCACCCTCCATTCCCACCGTTGGGCAGAAAGGCACAAACCTCATCACAGGCTTGGCAGCGTGGGCGCAGGCGTTCGGCATGGTGGCGACCACAGTAGACCTTGCCAGCATGGTAGAAGTAGATGAGGTCCACCAGTAGCTCCCGGCACGTGGAACACACAAAGCACTGCGGGTGCCAGCAGGCACCTAGGCCTGCACGGCTGGCAAACACGGCAATGTCCCCACCTCCAATCTGCTTCCCACACTGTGAAATGACAGGTGAACACTGTCACCATCACCAAGATGGTCAGCTGGATGGGGGTCAGCCAAGGTATGTCACACCTGGGCCTTCCCCATGGCCTATGTGACCAGCCCCATCCAGGGGGTAGAACTTCAAGATAGGCCCTGCCTACATGGCTGGGGGTGAAGGTGAGAGCAGGAGCCTTTAGAGAACCCTGCTCCTGGGGAAAACCACAGAGACAGGCCCTATCTCTTGTGGGTGGCCTCAAAGGCAAGTCTCACCTTTAGGGGGTTGGGCAAACCATAGAGACAGGTCAGGCCCAGTTGGGGGATCTTAGCAACAGACCTCACCTAACAGTAAGATCTAAGGTTAGGGTCCACCCACCAGGAGGGCCTCAGAGACAAATTCCACTCATCACTCAGCTCTGAAGACATGCCCTGCCACTGTGGGTTGGTTCTTAAGAACAAGTCTCGATCATAAGAGGGCCAAAGTGATAGCCCACATCCCATGTCCACAGCATGGAAGGGAGAAAATGAATAGAGAAGATCTACTAGGCTCTCCTTAGAGGTAGACCATACCTGACATGGGATCTGAGAAACAGGCTCCAGTCCACCAGGGGGCCCTACAGACAGACCTGGCTGGTCAGGGAGGCCTTAGATATGGTCCCTGTCCAACAGCAGAACATGAGGAAAATACCCCACCCACCAGAGGGGACACTACACAGACCACTAGGGCTTAAGTGGCCAGCCTCATCTTCCCAGGGCCTGGGAGATGGGTCTGTACCCCAAGGCTTGGAGCAAAGGCACCACTTACTCACTGAGGCCCTCCATGGCTCACCTCCTCACAGATGGCCCCAGTGATGGTTACAGGGAAGATGCGCACGGTGCCACGCCCCAGATTCTCCCGCTTCCGCTGCTGGCTGAAGGCTCTGAGCTCTTTCTTCTCCTCCTCTTCCAGTGCCGTACAGTACTGTGCCTGGAGTAGCAGGGGTCTTCCAAGCTCTTCCCCTGATGCCTACCCCACCCCGACCTTCTTCCAGACTTCATCCTTGCTCAGAAAGTTTACTTCTAGGCCTTTGTATAGGTGCCTCAAATAGCCACCCCTTACCTCCTCTCCCAAGGCCCAGCTGCGGTTTTTACCAAGGAATGTCCCCTGATCGCCCCTGCCTGTCTAGGCCTATCCCCTCAGATCAGTTCACCTCTCCTCCTCTGAGCCTGCCCACTGCTTTCCAGCTCCCAGCATTTGTCCAGGCCGTGCCCCCTACCTGGCATGCCCTTCCTGTCTTCTGCCTCCTCACCTCACTGTCATGTGGGGGCAGCTGGTGCAGCAGCTGCTTGATCCTGTATTTTTCCCCAGGACTGTTGACATAGGGGACCTTGTCTTCTGGGAGGCAGCTGAAAAACTGGTATACCTGGAGGGACATAGGGGATGGGTGAAAATAATTGAGACTAGAGATGATGCAGTAGAGTGGTTGTTGTTGTTCAGTGGCTCAGTCGTGTCTGACTCTTTGTGACCCCATAGACTGCAGCACACCAGGCTCTCCTGTCCTTCACTATCTCCCAGACTTTGCTCAAACTCATGTCTGTTGAGTCAGTGTTGGTGGATCCCTACTTTTCTGAGAAAATTAAAGTCATCAGGAGGGAACTTCTACTGACCCCCCTCCATCTCTCCTTCCTACAGGCCAGATCGTTCCTGCCACCTCTC